TGCAATCGTTAATACCGCCACTCGTGACTGATATGATGCCTTCAGTTCTGATGAACAGCTTGAGGCATACCAGTTCATCGAGGTCTGAGGTATACTGAATAACAATATCTTTGTGACACAAAAAAGCACTACGATGACCAAGCCGTTGCTTTCTCTCACCACAGTAGCCGATTTCGGGGCGCTTAGCTTTAGATCTTCCCATCTAAAATGACGTTCAAATCGAAACGTATTGTTGAGATAGAAAAATGGCAAATTGCTGTAGGCAGTGCAGCGAAACGTTGGTAACACAATATATGAGCAGAATAGGGAAGCCGTAAATGAAATATATCGGAGAGACTGAAATATTGCTGCAAACGTACGGTAGTGAGTAGCCAGACGGCAGATAATTTGGGAATTCATATAATCAAGAACCATGTCAAAAAGAAGCGTATAAATTCAACTTTACGGAGATGATTTCTGTATCCTGAAACGACGCCATTCGACAATGAAGGTCACAGCTGGGTACAGCGGTTACGAAATTAACGGTGACTTAATATCCAGTGGAATAAAGGACTCACAGTTATCGCTATAGTAATGGCCTATGTGCATCGTAAGTTTGTTGAGTGCAAGAACCACCGGCAAGAAAAATATAATTGTGTAAGATGAGGACTTTTTAGGATATCTGTCAAAATCATCAAGCAAAAGCTGGGAGTAGAGATTCTCTTGAGAGGAAACCCCGTGCATGGTGCTGTAATAAACATCCAGGCTTATGTAATTTCTCAAAGCTAGCATTGGTATTTTTATCCCCTACACACGCTAATAAAGTACATTTAGCTAGATTGGTATCAGTATCTCTCACAGCGCTCTGCAGTTAGACTACGTCATTTTTTTCCATTTTGTGCCACTCAGTAACTCTGACGTTTGGCTGACATAACCGCCTCAGGTTTACCTTTTCTAATCATTTCACAGTCAAGCAACTGTCTGTATCTCTTGGCTGGCTGGCAGGAGTTTGGCACAAGTCTCCCAACCGCACATACTCGTTTATTAGATTTAAACACTGTGGTAATCGTTCTAAGCAAAGCTTCGCAATTGTGAATAGTCGCGAACGAAAGAATAAGCTACATATAGAAGTCAACAAGCTTCACCCGTATAACACAGGCCCAAAAACATTTTTGACTCATTATCGAAGTCTTTAGGTTTAGTGGGAGTCATTGAGTTGGGCAGTTTCGACAGCTGTTGTAACTGTGCAAGTTTCTTTGGGTGCATAGGGTTGGTACCAGAAACAAGTTGGTAGCAAAAGTCTGGGATGGCTTGCCAGTTGATAACTTGGTAAGAGGAGTCAGAGGATGATCACAGTTAACAGTTGAGAGCAGACGGCAAAGCTGTGTAAAGATCAGTTTGCTAAAGTACTTAATTGTTGGACACTGCTCAAAATGAATGATGATGCGACAACATAAACCGCTACTAACTAATTACGCTTCTCATGACTCTGATGAAATTACCACCCAGCTACAGCAGGACAGTAAGGTCACTTCTATGGGTGGTAAACTTCCTTATCATAAACGTAATAGACAGCTGCAAGCCAAGAGTCTCTAGATTGGGGCATTTCACACAGCATCCTATATTAAGAGTGACAATGACCGTCCAGTCTGAAAACAACTGCCGTCTGAACCTACCTTTAATGATCATCATGATGACCTCAGTGTTTGTTAAAACAACGTCATCGACCCCTATAGCACAGAATTGGAAATCGTTTCTACGGGAAACAGATTTGATTGGCGAGCCAGATTATCATCAGGTGCTTGCTCCGAATCACCTCGCGGCATATGCATGTAACCAGCACAACCCGGACTGGAATTGTCATGTTCTGGAACGCCCGTAATGCGTGGCAGATCTGCTGCGCGAGAGAGATATACGACTGTAGGGAAAACTATTATACCGCGTATATATCATGGTACCTCATAGTTCTCCTTACAGTTTAGTGACATGACCTACACTGTCGTCTCTCAATAGCTTGCTTGTTGAGAGAGGGTGTTGGTCTTCGCGTGGGTCATCACCACTAGATATTGCGAATGGAGTGCCCGTGTTGGGCCTGATAGCACCTACGGCTCTATCAGCTGCCTCACTCGACAAAGCATTTGGATCTGCCTAATACCACCAAAATGAACATCCTTACACCTTTCCTACACTTTCTGCTGGTAGGTTAGTTCAACGCACACACTCGGTGATGGGTCCCCCAAGATGTCTAACGCACCCACTATATTCTCCAGCGAGCTCACCCTAACGATGTTCGACTTGGTAGTTTTCTGTGAGTGAATGCTTCCCAGGGCCTATCGAGCTTCTGCATGGGTGAGCCATGTAGGTGGTTCATTGGCGCACAAGATGGGAAGCTGAAGAGGTAAGGTCATCTGCGCAGGGTAGTCTGTGTTCCCAGACAATGTTAGGAGACACAATAAGCTATGATAGTCATAAAAAACAGCTACAATGTTAAATAACTGACGGTTAAATGCAGCGAAAAAATGAAAACGAAGCGGTGCCAAAAATGAAGACAGAACAAATGAATCACCGGAGGATAAACAAAGTAATGAACATGGTATGGAAATGGTATTGCGACCCGCCAATAGTAGGGGACTGGATATATTATTATTGGTTAACACCAAACAGGCCTCACCGACTTCAGCGCGCCCCATGATCTTCGTAATCGGCACCTCATCCTACCTAACTTATGAGTATTGATACCGAAGCACAAACCAGAAAGATTGCAGTATCTAGGAATATGCTTAAAAGAACAATATAACCAAATAGGACGAAGATTAAAGTGATTTTGAGGAAAGATTTTATCCAGCTCATCTGGCTATAGTGGCTGAGCCACAGACTCTGAGGATAAGAGTGTGAAGCAGCATGAGGTGAGCGCCAAGTGGCATCGAAGCCCGCTGGGACGCAAGCTCGCTAAAATAAACTTTAAAACAACCAAAGCACCTGCAGGCGAGCAAAATGTTCGTTTGATTGATACTTGATGAATTCAATTTTATCTATTTATTTTGGCCATGGATTATTTTGGTGCCAGAATGGCGCACTAAAGAATCACGACTTTCAGCCTGGATGCTCCTGTGGAAAGAGTTTGGACATGGAGGGATGGATAGAAGGACAAGATTATAAAATGCCTATTGCCGCTGTGCTTATTGATTTTTCAAGACTGTAGTGAACTGTAGTGCTTGGACTTGTCAACAAAGTGGATAGGTTTTGAAACGGACGCCGACATACAAGAGTAGGGTAGGGACTAATGCATCGTGTGGTTCAGAGGCCACAAGTGAATGGAGCACCATTCGAATGAAAACCGACTACTATTGGGGCTCTTAAGAACCCATCCAAAGACCACTTAAGTTTCTGTTTCGTGCCAATGAAGTGCCAAATACGCCCGAGTCATCGTTCTTGAGGTAAGTGGATTACATGGGGTTATGAATGCTGTTTAATATGATGAGGGTAGATTGGCACTCCAGACCCACACAGATGGATTGATCGAATGATCTAGATTGTGGAGCCTGGAAATCAACTCCGGTGAAAGCGCAGTAATGCATATTGGTCGAAAGTTTTACTACTCTTACTCATCGAACGGTTAAGTATTGCCTTGCGCTAGGAAAAAAGCACAAGAAAGTTCCCGTAAGCCATAGTTTAAAATGCAGCTCAAGCCACAGCATCCCGCTCGCTATAAGCAATCTACAGGGCTTCTGAGTGGTATTAAAAAGAAGTATTTGGATATTGCATCCTCTTACACGGGGAGTAATCAAGAGTACTGCACAGAAGTAAGCAGCCATTGTCTCAAGCAAGAATCAGATATTCTATAACGAATGCATAACGTGGGTACTAAGATACTAACATATATTACACAATACCACCATGAAAGTCGAGTGGAAAGCATGAATATTTTGTCACTATCACTTAGCAGCAAAACAAAAAACTTAAAATTAGCGCACCGTATCATGAATAAAGAATTCACCGCCTATTTATCTGATATCCTCACTTCTACATGTAACAGGTCACCACAGAAAAGTCTCTGCTGAGCGAACTGCGGGTGGAACTCAGATTATCTTGTAGCGTTACACACTTCTGCAGAATCGATCGCCCAGGGTTTGACATGGTTCATCATTGATGCTGACCCTCATAGCTTAACTGGACTCCCCAAGTTGAAGTCACACGATCAAGCATCCTCGCCATTCGGTATGCCTTCGTTCTACGTTGCACCGCTCATAATCGACCCTCGAGCCTGTTGGTTGGAACGCGTCGATACCTTGGCACAACGTTGCAAGTATAATGCTCCATCCGACTACGCTATTGTGTTCTTTCTTGGTCTCGTATTCGTGGGCATATAACGAGTTCGTGATTGGCCTCTGCGTCTGTCAAGTTCCAACCAGGACAATTCCTAAGCTCTCAAACTGTGCTCAGCCATCGGGACCTGCTGTCAGAACTTAAGATAAAAGCTCTTTCGGTAAGTGATTTCAGAATGATGCCTGATTTTCGCAGTACTTACCGCGGCCAAGATTACTTCAGGGTACTGTAAACACTATCCTTAAAACTAAAGGCTGAATGCTAGATAGTAGACATAAAGATGGCAGGTTAGATATCAGGCACGACTTATTCTGCCAGAACGCCTTCGTAAATTTCAAGGCTCTCCCTGAAAAATCGATCTGTGTCAACACACCTGAATACAATAAACGCCAACTTGACACCTACTTATGATTTGTGTGGGAGCTAACTCAAAACCTAATTGTTTTTCCGTTTTTAACCACCAGATTTTTCTTACTGTTTATTTGTTCGTAAGCTAACAAACTAGAGAACTTGTGGTCCATTAGCTTTAGATACGGAGGTGAGATAAGCGAAATCCTCTATTGTGCTACAAACCACTTGGAACCCTTAAATAATGTACAGCCTTTTAGTGCTCGCCTTATGAATACTCTCAAGGTTGTCTTCTTGCGTTAACACCCGTAGAATTACTTTCCATTTAGCAAAAATCATTTGATTGCATGAGTGTGTCCACTGAACATGGTGGTTCATCCACTAGTGAACAAGAAAGTCCACCTGATAAGGTAGTACTTCTACTGAAAGCTACTGGGAATGCACCTGTAATGAAAAAAATGAAGTGGTCTGTTAGCAGGAAACAGAAAATTCACTGGGTAGTGGATTTTATACGAAAGTATATATCATGTGCACCATCAGAATCTTTGTTTCTGTATGTGAACCAGTGTTTTGCCCCGGCGATGGATGCGGAAATAGGCCCATTATATGACTGTTTTAGTGTTGAGGGAAAACTAATTTTACACTATTGTAAAACCCAGGCATGGGGATAGAAATATGTAATTACTTCGCTTGTACCACTTTTAACGCGTGTGTCTTTTTTAGACCTATGCAGAACCGGCAAATCAGACTTGATGGTTTGTTCTTAAATTTTATCAATACTATTTGTCAGCTTGTAATTTAATCAGTGACTTTATTGAATCTGTGATCCATTTGTATCTGTATGAAAGAAATGTTTATCCTCGATCGTCTTTCACTGACTTTGTTGTTTTTGGACTGCACTTAAAGGTAAACATTTATTTTTTGCTAATAATTTTGTTTAACGAGCATGGTTTCAAAGATCTTTACATATTTGACTTGTGTTTCTAGTGGCTTGTTTCATAAGTCATTCCACATGTGTCTTTCAATAGGTATGACATTTCCAGAGTTGGAGTTAGGTTCTGATGGACAAGGACTCAGTTGTACACTCGCAATATGTATGTTTATGGAACTGTTTTTTTCGATTGCGTACATTTGAGTATCTGGTTTATATTGGAGTATTACATTCGCTGTTCGGTTAGTGGGATCAACTTAGACTTCAAAAGTATCGTTTGATTATGGATCAAATATTACATTATGTGAGCATTTCAGAATATAGGTAGCTACTTAGTCCTGCTTGAAGTTCTGAGTAATTAGGCTTTTCTAAAACAACTGTTCTTATTAATTTTGTACATAGCACACTAATTGTCTTACTTCAGTTTGCTTTGAGGTCCCTAAAATTAGTAGTTCTTCACTACACTGACGTCCAATAATTGCAAAGAAGGCATACTCATTTAATGGCATAGTAATCCGTTTTGAGTATCCGCACTTTCACTACGTTACGTTGAAGTAGATTTAATACAAGATTTATTTTCCACTCATTGTGAAATACAAGTTTCAGCATTGGTGAATAGAATCCACTCATGGGATGTTTTGTAGTCGAAGCGGTTACTTTTCATCCTGTATAAGCTAATTGAAGCTATTCTGAGTGAATGCGAAAAATTAACACCCATTACTTCATGAATCGCCGTTACCAATTGTGCGGGATGAGTTTGGGATCCATTATCCCTTTCTCTTATTTTCTGTGAATGTGACGGGCTTATATCGTAAAAACACAAGTAGCTTCACCGTAGGTGCTAAAAGTACATTCAAAGGGGTAGGATTAGAATGATGACTTTTATCATATGATTGCGATATTCAAAGTGTTTTCTTGATGTTATATTCAGTTCTTTATCCAAAGCAGCGTGTATACTAGTAAGTTCGTCAGTTTTCCAATAGCAAAGAAAGAGTAAATCAACTGAAGTAAGATATTTAAGTGCATTAGATTGACAGGGGAAAGGAGAAAGTGAAACGAAAACAACAGATAAGCAGATTAACTTTGAATGATGCGTTATGAGAGGTTCTGAACATTAAAGCTAAGATGATGAATATCTATGAGGTATCTTGATTGATTTTGATCCATATGGAAAATAGTCCTCAATTACTGATACCTTGTATTTCCAGTATTCCAAGCAAGTAGAAAACAGGACCTAAGGGGTCAGCCAGTGACTTCATTAATCCACTACACACTTAATTATAAGCATTTTGCATACCTGGACAAATGCGGACTTCCTCGTGTTAAGAGGTGGTGCATGTATCAGAGAGAAGGTAGTGTATTGTGATAGATCAACGTAAAACCTTACACACAAGTGCATTGATTCAAGTTGCCACATTTCATAGTATACAGAGCACACTTAGACAGAAATAAGGTAATATCAAGCCAGACAAAGTTGTTTAAAAAAGTAAGCGATTCGAAGATAAGGGTTAGTGAGACTAATAGTCAGGGACTTCAAGGACTGTTGCCACGTGTTAGTCTGCTCACCGTGAAGTCTCTTCCAACCTAATCCAGCTGCCGCCAGCGTGATATGTCGAGGTAGGTGGTGGATCGGCATTGACAACACGTGTCCAAGCCACATCAACTATCCATAATCTCTTACACAGCTGCTTAAATTCGAGTAGATATCCTTGATAAGCATTATGTACTTGCTCGTTACTCCGTTCACAGTCAAACACTCAGAACACCTCATGATCGACATAGTTGAATGCTGCCTTGAGATCAAGAAGTATGGTATGTGTCGGCCACTGACCAGTAAGCATGCCTATGTCATAACCTGTCCATGGGTGAAAATATGATCGACGCACCCTCGTCTAGGTCTGAAACCTGCCTGGTTTTCTCGAGTTTACCATTCTCGAGCTCCAGTTAGGTGTCGGATAACTATAGATACCAGAATCTTGGACACAATATTAGTCAAAGTAATTTCCCTATGGTTGTCACAAGAAGATTTCTTTCCCTTCCCATTGAGTGGGATAATTGGGAAAGTAAACCAGTCTGACGTTACTACCTCTGTTTCTCATATACTACCTGTCACCTTCATTCGCATCAGCAATTCCTTACCTCCATCCTTGAAAACTTCGAGTGGCAAATTGTCGGGTGCTGCTGCGTTGGATCGTTTCAGGTTCTATACAGCTTTCTCAACTTCAAAGAAAGTTGAAGACCGGACACCTGGGTTCCATTTAGTTTCGGACTGGATGTTGGGCAACTGAAGCGTTACTGGTGGCCAGTTGAATTGTGCTTCAAAGTGTTCTGCCCAACGTTCTAGCCACTTGTCCTGTGAGGTTATCAGGGTCCCATCGTTTTCGGTGATGGTTTCACTCACCATCATCTTGTTGCTGGTATCCTTGAGAGACTGGTAGTTGGTGTGTGCTGCGCAACGATTGTGCCTTGTCCATCCCTTTCACTTTCGTCATCCACCACTGAGTTTCCTAGACGCAATGACTTGTGTTCATGTAAGGTTTATGTTGGTTTCACTTTTCATGCATTTACTTGATATACTAGCTCCCTGATTCTGAGTATTGCTTTGCTTCGTCGTGTGTATTCGGAAATTTTAAATTTTTGAACTTATGCATTTTCAGGCTGTGACTACTGCGTATGTGCATACACAAAGTTATTTGTGAGAGTAGATACGTGTAGTTGACTTAGAAATTCATTTGGAACCAAACATCGTAACAAAGTCATTGCAAGCACAGTCCTACAACCATTTGATTTCTTGTAGTGTACTAATTTCAACTTTTAAAATAAGTTTGGAAAATACCTTCAGTCTACAATGAAACAGTGGAAACAGCAGCTTTTAACTACGGATTTTGAACAATTAGTGAATTTAATGAACTTTACCGAGTCAACAAGTTCCTGGTTGGTCATTAATGATGGTTTGTTGTGGAGGAATGAAAATTATTGACCAAGAATTTTCCACGTACCAGTGGAGCAGATAAAGTCTAGCATTTCTTTGTGATTGATAGTGGTACTGGTTCTTTACACTCGGAAGATATTTAATTGGCGATAGAAAGGGATGAGCCTGATTCCTCACGAAAACAAACTCTTGAGCAGTGGAGAATATTACGATTAAGCATTCTACAGTCTAAATCTGCAGTTACAAAAGTTGGCAAATTTGAAAGTAGATGAAGCAATAGCCCATAATTAATGACTAGAAGTATGACGTAGTTTTTCAAATATTGGGGACAACCAAAGTCTCCTGAAACTGGTATCACCCACTGATTGTTTCATTTAACCAGAAGGTACCCGACTGATAGCTGCTACCTTGATGTGGTCGTCGGGTTTGTATATCACAGTGACCCAACCAGCTATGGTGGTGGAACACTTGTTCCCTCGAGGTCCTACCATACTAGAAAGTTCTGTTGGACAGTGGTTAGACGAAAAGCAGTTACTGTTGTGGTGTAAATCACTACACGATGATGGTTGTCTGAGGGCTAATTCGTACTGCTGCTAGCTGGATGGTGTGTGACAGCAGTAAGGTGTTTCCCTTGGATGACTAGTAGTGTTGTGCTGATGCTGCCTTCTCAGTGGAAAAGGTCAGCCCCCAAAATAACACACTCCATCATACCATACGGTCTGCCGAGCCGACCCCATTGGTTCAATTGTTGTTTCTTTTGGACCATCCGTCCCAAAACAACAAAAGTTTAAAATAATCATACACAAAGGGTTGCGTGTGACAGGCCTCAAGCGGATATCCGGTGGGCTCTGCGGTCACACAAGTCTCTTTCAGGTACCTTAAAAAGAAATAGGCTCCCACGGTGTGGGCAGCCAGGAAGTGTCAACCGCCCTCATGACTCGATCAGCAACCAAGTTTCTTCAGACTGCTATCCACCTCCTTGATCATTACCTTCTAATCTTCCTTCACATCTCTCAACTAACGATACTACATCATCTTCAACTTCTCCTAGCTCTGCAGCCTTCGACAACGACCGGAGTCCACAGAGCAGCATCCTTGGTCTCCTTAAACCACACTCCAAATTACACATTGGAGCCTTCAATGTCCTCACCCTCAGTCAAATTGGTCAACAGGCTTCATTGGCCAAGACTCTGGCAACTCGGACCATGGATGTGTGCTGTGCTTGTGAGGCCTGCATACAAGACCCAAGTGTGGTTATTCACCTTACCTCTCCCGGCCAGTCTGGTGAATCTGCGAAATTTACCCTTCGAGTTTCTGGAGATTCGATAACTAGCTCTCGGGGTCTTGCGAGTGTAGGCATAGGATTGGGCACTAGGGTAGAAAACTCACGACTAGACTGGATCCCAGTTGATAGTCGCCTCTGTGCTATCCGACTGAACGACACAGTGAGAACTAAAAGGAATAGTGGAACTCGCCGTTGTCTCTGCTTACGCACCCACTGACTGTAGTTCGGATGAAGTGAAGGACTAGTTCTACCGTAAACTGTCTAGCCTCCTCTCGAAAGCCAAACGCTCAGGCGTGATGGTTGTTGCAGGTGATTTCAATGCATAGGTGGGTAGACTGAGTGAGTCAGAAAGGTACTTAGGTGGCACTTTCGGAATCCCAGCTGAACGTACAGATAACGGTGATCGCCTACTACAGCTGTGCTCAGATAACCGCTTATTTTCAGTCAGCACAAATTTCAGACAAAGAAAGATACTGTCTGACCTGGCGTTCACTGAGCTCAACTCAGTGATGGACACAGATAGACCACATTGGTACTAGTCATCTCTGGGGAGGATCGGTGGAAGACTGCCTCTCCTTCTGGAGTACGTGTTTGGATAGCGACCACGCGTTGGTCCGAGCGCGTGTATGCCTACGTCTCAATGGACGTGGGAAAAATTTGACAACAAAACCAATGGGAGTGCACCCCGACAACGAAAACACCAAAGCCGCTTTCAGTGAAAAATTGGCTAAGGAGTTATCTGAACAGAACACTATCAC